ACCGCCTGGCGCTGTGTGCCATAGTCCTGTTTGTCCTGGGGCTGATCTTGGCTGAGGCGTATTACAACCGCCCAAGGGGGGTGCCGTAGGTGAGGTGACCCCGCCTTCTGTGCCCCTTGCTCCCCTCAGGGTCTGGGCATGGTGACATAGGCCCCTCTAACTCGCCTTGTCTCTGCGCCCCCAGGAACCTGGATCCGGTCTTGCAGAGAAGAGAATCTCCCCAGGGGACGAGCTGCTGCCCCATTCAGGGGCTGAGACACCAGCTCAAGACCTCCTGCCCCCAAACACCCCTGCCTCAGAGAATCCCCCCCCGACTACTCCTAACACGACAGTCACATCCCAGGATCAAGCCCCTGACCCCCAGCCTAGAGGTTGTTGGGCTGGACTCACTAGACCCCACTGACCTCCCTGAGCCAGGGATAAAACCTAGGAGTCCTGGCTCTCAGCCCCACCCCCTGTTCTAACCACTAGACCCCACTGCCCTCCCAGAGCCAGGGAGAGAACCCAGGAGTCCTGGCTCACAGGTGGATGCAATAGACGAGGCAGCTGCTGACGGCGTGTCCTGCCATCCGGACTAGGTGGTTCAGGATAAGCGTGGGGTATAAATTGACCCCTAGATGCAGGCGGCTTTTATTTGGCAGAGCGGGAAACAGGGAGGAAAGAGTGGACAGGGTCAGGGGCAAGCCTGGGGCAGCGGACGTGAGGTGAGGGCGCCCCCTGGCATAGCACCAGCTGCTCTGGAGGGGGGAGCTACCACAGGACACCACTAGGGGGAGCTCTGGCTCCATGGAGGGACATCCAGCAGCCACAGTGTCCCCTGGCTACGTACAGCCCTGTGCACCCTGCCTGAGATGGAGAGGGGATCACTCCTTGTCCCAGGGGACGATCCCAGCCAGTTCCTGCAGCCACTCTCGGTAAAGCTGGGCAAAGCGCTCGCTTGGCGCTGCGGTGAAATGGTTCTTCCAGTCTCCGGCGACCCCTGCGAAGCAGAGACATTGGGTGGGACAGCAATTCTGTGCGGCAGGGGCACCCCCTGGTGGGAGAGGTGGGGCTGGGGAAGTGGGAAGCCCCCCCGACCCCACAGCCAGTGTTCCCACCCTTCTCCCCACAGAACCTCCCACTGGAAGAGTATTTCCATAATAGCCGTGCCATGTGCCCAAATGTGGGATTAGGGTATTGGGCACTGGTTTGGGTGGTCAGGACTCTTGGGGTCTATCTCTGGCTCCAGGAGGGGAGTGGGGTCTAGTGGTTAGAGTTGGGGACTGGGAGCCAGGACTCCTGGGTTCTATCCCAGGCTCTGGGAGGGGAGTGGGTGACTCCAGATTGCCTTCTAGGAAGCTGGGATCAGAATCTAGCCCTGACCCTATTGTAGTTAGGGGGGCCCTGCATCCCACCTCCCCCTAGCT